GAATAACAGCCCGGACCTGTTGAGGATGGTGTTTGCCACAGTCACGGGCGTTGGATGTGCTCCAGTGTTCACCTTCAGATGTTAATGGTACCCCTGCTCCCTTCCGAGTTGGTCAGGGGATGTTTTTGGGGCTGGCGGGGCAGGCGAGGCAGGTGTGGCCTGTTGGGGGGGAGCGGGGGGGGGGGGCAGGCGAGGCTGAAGGGCCCTCTCTTGCCCAGAGCCTGTGTCCAGGCCAGCTGGGAGCTGTTTCGATGTGTCCTGCTTGGTTTGCTGTAATGTCAATGTGTAAGAAAGTGGTGATGGTGGAGGGGGGCGGGGGGAAGGTGGCTGTTGGCCAGTCTGCAGCCTGGAGTGTGGAGCTGTAAAGTTAATACCAGCTGCCTCTCCCTCAGGTTTTAGCAGGTAATTAACTAATTAGGAACCTGATTAACACAGGAAGGTTTTTTTTTTTGTGGTTAAAGCTCTGGTCAGACACTGAGGAACTGGGGATTTAATTCCTACTTTTGCCACTGTTTGGGTTCATCAGCAAGTCACTCAGCTCCTTTGCCTCGTTAAAATGGGGGAATAATGCTCCCTCTGTCTCATTTGAGGGCTTTTGCGCCTTTGGGAGCAGGAGCTTTTGGGACAGCATCTCACATCGGCGCAAAACAGCCCTCGTTACAGCCTGCTGCTGGATGAAGGGTGAGGTCCGGTGTGCTGGGGTTCACTCCTTTGTATGAGACTCTTTAGCTCTGCATGCTGCTTTCGCAGCCGTCCAGCTCGCGTGCTGGCAGCAGGGACCATCACCTCCCCAGCCTTGGACTCCAGCCCCGAAGCTGCAAGTGTCTCTTCCCCTTTCTGCCCTCTGCGGCTGCCCCTTTGCTGAGGAGGTGAAGCGGAGAGGCCTGCAGTGCCAATCAACACGAAATGGGGTTATCATCCTCTCTTTTAGTGATTTTTAACTCCAAACTGTATAAAAGGTTTCCAGCTGCAGTGTAGAATTGCTCTTGGCTATTTGTGGTTGGCCACCTCTTCCATGTGCTGGATATATTGCCACCTCCTCCAACGCATCAGGGCAAAAGCAGAGCTGTCAGTCTCTTTGAGCAGCCGTGTGCATCTTGATTGAAAGAATGATCCTGTGTGTAATGTTGCATAGTAATGTTATTCATAAAGTAGCAAGCCAAAAAAAGAGCTTTTATAAAGCAACAGCTAATTCAGTTCTAGGATGAAGGCCAAGCCCAGTGCAAGCTTGTAAGAAATACCCTGTAGGGCCTGTTTTCTAGTCAGTTTGGTCTCTGTCCTTCTATGTCCAATTCAATCACAGCTCCTAATGGGAGGTTACTGAGTGTAGATTTGGCTGAAAAGAATCAAGGGAAGATAAACTAGTTAGCTGAGCATGAATAAAAGGTTCTCCTGCATGAAGCTCATCTTTCTGGAAAGTGTTAGCTGAAGACTTTTGTGCTACTGAAGTCCTACTCACACCAGTGCTTTTAGTGATTAAGTGCAATATGAGTGGTCTGTAGGGCATGAGCTGGCTCTTTGCCTCTCCTTTGATTTCCAGGAGTGAGCAGAGGTGAGATAAACTTGCACGCATCTGTGACCAGCAGTCATTTCCTCTCCTTCCATTGACCTGGGTAGTTGGCAGTCTGCTTTGCACTGCTAGTGCTGTGTCCAGAGTGCTGTTCCACTGTAATATCTTTGATTGGATCAATTCTGTCCTTGTTGTTAGCGTGGTGTATTTCTGCAAAATAGAGAGGAGTTGCATGTTGTGTTTGGAGCCTCACAGCACCATAGGGAGGTAGGCAGATATTTGAGTCATCCTTTACAAATGAGAAAAGTGATATACAGGGCATAGAAATGGGGCTGTGGCAGGAGGCTGGAGTGTTGAGACTGCTACCTGCTCGCAGGCTTGTCGATTCTGGAGGAGGTCCAGCTCTGTCGAAAGCCCATCACCTTCCTCCAACTGCTCCGGGGACTTTTGGCAAGCAGCTATCTTCTGACTTGAATGTGGTGTAATTCTATTAAAAAGATGTATACAGCTGACAAGATCTTATTCTGTTATGTTGAATTTCCTTCCTCTTAATACGTTGCCCAATTTGTTAGCTGTCAGACCATCACAATAGGTATTATTTAATTTGTTCAGCACTGTACATTTCTCTCTTGCGAGATGACCGTGACTGGCTCTGGTGTGGGCTGGGGCTCCCTTGCTAAAGGAGATGTTTGCCTGATTCTCGTGACAATAGCAGATGGGCTTTCAGCTGATTGATTCTCCTGCAGATGTTTCAGTCCTGTTCTCTGCAAATATTGTGGCAGGCTCTCCCCAGGAATGGCTTATGTTCAGTCCTGCGAGTGAGTCTCCAAATTCCCCCTGCAGCCTTTGCTTCAGAAGCAGCAGGCTGATGTCAGGAGTCTGGAATTCAGCTCCCCTCCCCCTTCCTCTTTGCCTTTTTCCCCCCCTCTCTTCAAATTTTGAAGACGGCTAGGAATGGACTGATATGAATCTCCTGGAGTCCAGGGAGGTGCCTGGAAAGAAGAGATAGTGTTTTGTTATGATTTTATTTGTTTAAAGTCAGCCTGGGCAATGTGTATGCAGATAGGTTTTGCATTAAAATAAAACACTGTTAAAGGCGGTGGGAAGATCCAAGCTATGAGGGTAGCTTTGACTAATGTGTGCCATCCATGGACTGTGTCTAACAAGAATGAGAAAGATGGGGAAACACTGCAGCTGCATGCTTCTTGGGGGCCAGGCTTTCTCAGCTGGTTTATCTGCAGTGTTGACTTAATTTGCCATATGTTTGTAATCTCTCATCAAGGGCCCAAATTCTGCGGACTAGAAACTTCTCATGCCATTTAACAATATACGTGATGTTTCCATGCAAATACTAGGCATATCTTGGTAACCACAGCCTGCTATATTTAACAGATCTGTTCATGATGTTTCTTTTCATTGCTGGGGTGTTTGTGTTCGAGTGCTAATGTGCATGCTGTAGCCTTTCCCCGTTGATGCCCCTCCTTGTGTAAAGCATGTGCCCTTGGGGACCCCCCGCCCCCACCTTACAAATCGTCTCCCTTTCCTTCCTCTCTGGTGTTTAGTAACGTGCTTGATCCCAACCTGAGGTGGTTTCTTATTTAATTTGTGTCTCCCTTGCAAGTTTTCTCCTATATTATTTTCCTGCCTTTTGGGAGATCTGTGTCCTTTTTTGCAATGAAGGAGATGCCGTACACCTTTCTGTATGTAGATGGGCTGTTTGTGGTTCTCTGAGTTGGTAACAGGATTGCACCCTTGGCAAGAGAGCTTGAGAGTACTGAGAGAAGCTGAGGGCCGGCCAGCCCAGGGGTCTTGTTTGGCATACCATTACAAATGTTGGACTACCTAATATGTGGCTGTCCTTGAGGGTCTGAGTAATATCACTCTTCAGGGAAAATGGATTATGTGGCAAAAGAACACAGCTGTGATATATTTTCTAGACAAGGCTAAACAAAGCTGTTGTGCAGACATTTGCTTTGGGCACTGCCAGGGTTTTGCTGAGTTGGATGGTTCATCTTTTTGACAGTGCTTTGCTCCAAGTATTAGGTCAAAATCCAGAATAATTTAAGTGTTTAAAGTCAGGTCTGGTTACTCCTCTTCTGGAGGCACCATCTCTCCTGACATGAGCAAGAATTAGGAGGGTAATGAGATGCAACGTGCACATTGCGCAATTGCTTTTTTAGAGACTTAAACATCCGGAGATGAACTAGCTCGGAATTAGCTAGTGCAGGGAGCACTGGGCATAACGGACGTGTTCTTCCATTAGCTGGTTTATGAGGCTTTTGCTCCCCCAAATGTTAATCAGTCTATGAGCCTAATGGGATGTGGCTGAGGTCTGCTGAGGAATAGAGCATTTTCCTGTGCATCATTAGTCAAAATGCTTCTGCAGCTCACTTTGAGGCATCCTCTGCCGAAGGCCTGCAGGTGCCAAACCCCTGCAGTCTGCCTCGAGTTCCCAGCTGAAGTGGCAGACTTAGGCTGCAGAAACCAGAAACAAGGTTCTTCCTAAGCCAGGGTGTTACTGGACTTTTCCCCTCTTCTGTAACGCTTGTGTTGTGTTGGTAACCCCAGCTGAATGCTGGCAGGCACCAGTGGCTGTGCAGAAATCCTGGCGTGTCTTAGGGGGGAGTACCTGGTGAAGAGGGCGACTTATTCAGTGGGACAGATCTAGGCTTGTGGTGAGTTGTGGAAGGTGCTTGGTTGCTTCAGGCCTTGGTGAGGGCAGTGGAGTTGTGCTGTGTCCCTGCAGGGATTAGGTGCTGTGCAGCAAACCCTCATGCATGCCTGCAAGGGGAGTGTGAGAGCGGCCATGGTGTGGCTTCCAGCTGGGGATGGCTAGCGGAGCCAGCCTGCAGGCGGTGGGAGCAGCCCCTTTGAGCTTGCAGCATAGCCCTTCTCTGCCATAGCTCGTTTCTACCCTGAGGCGTGACTGCATTTACCTGTTGTTCCAGCTGGTGTGACTTTATGGACGGTTCTTCTCCATGGTGTGAGCATGCAATCCTTTAGAGAAACTTAGCCAGGTTAGTTGCCTCAAAACAATTTTTAGGGTCAACCAACTTTGGAGAAAACGATCAGAATGGTTGCCTCAGGATGATGACAATGTCTTGATTTAAAACCTTTCTCTTGGAGATCATGAATTTTCTGTCTAATGCTTAATCTTTAGGATGTACTTGAATGATGGAGACTGAAGACATCCAGAAAATATATAACTACTATTACTAATAAGATAGTAATTCTCCCTTCTCTCCTAGTGCAGAGAGATGATAAACTGTTCCTCTCTGTATTGAATTAGTGTCTTTGACCAGCAGTACAGTGTTGCAGCTTTGAAGCTGATATTAACATTGTATTTGCAGATGTGTTGAAAACATATTTCATCTGTTATTTTTTAAAATCACGCTGAATGATTTGTGTGATATGGGCCAATGATTTGGCCCATAGCAAATGCCAATACTGTTGCCTGCTAATTCTTGTTTTCTCCTTTTTTCTTTTACAGCTGAGCCTGCAGATCTCTTGAAGGTATTAGATTTTCACAATTTACCTGATGGTATAACAAAAACAACAGGGTTTTGCACAAGCAGAAGATCTTCAAAAGAAGCAGATGTTGCTTATCGAGTAACAAAAGATGCTCAGCTTAGTGCACCAACAAAGCAGCTGTATCCTGGTGAGTCTACACCATTTTCTTTGGCTAGCATATGGGAATACCTGGTCCTTTTCTTGGATTCTCCAGGCACATACAGGGCACTGGGCACTTCCTTTGCTTTCTCGGTGTCTGCACGTGCTCCCTTGGCAGAGGAGCAATTCTACTGTTTGGGGAAATGCAGACTTGCAAACGTGAAATAACATTGCAATAGCTGTTCTTTCATTATTGCATTTGAATGCGATGGCAGGTTTCACTGAGGAAGATGTAGCCTATGCCTACCTCTGTTCTTCCTATTCTACTGTCCCATTATCACACAGTGAAATCCAGCTGGGAAGAAAGACTTGGAAGACGCAAAGGAACAAACTGTTTTGCTCTGTAATTGTAGAGTGCCAAGCACAGTAGGGTTTTACTCTGTGGTTGTGGTGTGTCTCATAATACAAATAATCACCATATAAAAATAATAGACTGCCCCACAAGAGCAGATGTCCTGAGAAAAGCTATTGTTTGAAGAAATGCCTATCAGTCAGACCAGTTTCATTAGAGACTGCCACTAAGATGCAGGAAGTTCACAAGGCCCTTAAAGAGCACGTGGGCCACTGACCATTTTATTCGTCACTGAGGATAAACTGGGGATTTTTAATGTTTCAAGTCAAGGGACAACCAGTGCTGTAGAGCAAAATGTGCTTGTAGTAAAAGACCAGACACACACGGGCCAAATTATTCACTATTTGAGGGCTTCATCATCTTGAACAAATAGTCACCACTGAAAAACTTACCTCCAGAGAGAGTACAGGAGTGCTGCTGTATTGCTATTTTACATGGAAGTTCAGGGACGCTGGGAGTAGGAATTGCAGGGCTTTCTAGGTTTGTGGAAAGTCCTGTATCTCATGGACTCTGGAAGTTTGCAAGTGTCAGGGATGAATCTGGCCTGTTTGTATGACAGGGTTCCTCATGTCTTTCAGGGACATGCATGACGTTTGGCAACGTGTTCCTCCTGTGAAAAACGCACCTTTGCTGAATGTTTAACAGTAGGCAGAAGGGCACTGTATAACTTGGTTGCAAAGCAGCAGGTGACTTAAAGCAGGTGCACGCACATGCTCCTTGTGTGTTTGTAAGAAATTTAATGATACAAAATCCATTAGCTAAATCAGAGGTAATGTGACATGCTGCTACCAATACTTTTAATTAACGTGCTGCATCTATCAGACCCAGTCTGTCAGCGGCCTAAATGAGGACTCTGAGGCTGTACTGTGGATGCGCTTCCATCCCTTAGTTCTGTATTTCCTTCACTGAAGACAGTCATTAAGATTATTTTAAGACTTATTATCTTGTTGTGACAGTAAGCAGGTGAATTATATTTAATCCCTGGCGAACATGAGCATAACCTTTATCTAATCCTTCCTGTGTGTCTTGCATAATAACTGAGAGCCAGACATTAAGAGGAGAGTGGCTGCAGCAGAGACAGGGGTGTAGCATGCCTTGGCTCGAGACAAGTCCTCCACGGTACAGTCAACCCTTAGCTTAGGAGCTATTCTGTTTTCCCTGAAGCCCTATTTCAAAGTCTGAAGTGCAGAACAGGCTCTTTATCCATGTCTTTATTAAGATTCCTGCCCAGGGCAGGATAGTCCTTTCGGATTATGACTGTTGTCACATGCCCAGCTGCACTCGTTCCACCAGTTCATGCCTTCACCTCCCTGTGGACTGCACTAGTGGATATAGGGAATGTTAAGTTTTGGCCCAGAAGTGCTTGAAGAAACATCTCCAGCTTGGAGTACAGAATCAGACCAGATTTGGGGGGGGGGGGGGGGGGGG